CATAATAGTGCATCTGTCCATCATAAAAGTGCATCTGTCCATCATAAAAGTGCATCTGTCCATCATAAAAGTGCATCTATCCATCATAAAAGTGCATCTGTCCATCATAATAGTGCATCTGTCCATCATAAAAGTGCATCTATCCATCATAAAAGTGCATCTGTCCATCATAAAAGTGCATCTGTCCATCATAAAAGTGCATCTGTCCATCATAAAAGTGCATCTGTCCATCATAAAAGTGCATCTGTCCATCATAAAAGTGCATCTGTCCAACATAAAAGTGCATCTGTCCATCATAAAAGTGCATCTGTCCATCATAAAAGTGCATCTGTCCATCATAAAAGTGCATCTGTCCATCATAAAAGTGCATCTGTCCATCATAAAAGTGCATCTGTCCATCATAAAAGTGCATCTATCCATCATAAAAGTGCATCTGTCCATCATAATAGTGCATCTGTCCATCATAAAAGTGCATCTGTCCATCATAAAAGTGCATCTGTCCATCATAAAAGTGCATCTATCCATCATAAAAGTGCATCTGTCCATCATAATAGTGCATCTGTCCATCATAAAAGTGCATCTATCCATCATAAAAGTGCATCTGTCCATCATAAAAGTGCATCTATCCATCATAAAAGTGCATCTGTCCATCATAATAGTGCATCTGTCCATCATAAAAGTGCATCTGTCCATCATAAAAGTGCATCTGTCCATCATAATAGTGCATCTGTCCATCATAAAAGTGCATCTGTCCATCATAAAAGTGCATCTGTCCATCATAAAAGTGCATCTATCCATCATAAAAGTGCATCTGTCCATCATAATAGTGCATCTGTCCATCATAAAAGTGCATCTATCCATCATAAAAGTGCATCTGTCCATCATAAAAGTGCATCTGTCCATCATAAAAGTGCATCTGTCCATCATAAAAGTGCATCTGTCCATCATAAAAGTGCATCTGTCCATCATAAAAGTGCATCTGTCCAACATAAAAGTGCATCTGTCCATCATAAAAGTGCATCTGTCCATCATAAAAGTGCATCTGTCTATCATAAAAGTGCATCTGTCCATCATAAAAGTGCATCTGTCCATCATAAAAGTGCATCTGTCCATCATAAAAGTGCATCTATCCATCATAAAAGTGCATCTGTCCATCATAATAGTGCATCTGTCCATCATAAAAGTGCATCTGTCCATCATAAAAGTGCATCTGTCCATCATAAAAGTGCATCTATCCATCATAAAAGTGCATCTGTCCATCATAATAGTGCATCTGTCCATCATAAAAGTGCATCTATCCATCATAAAAGTGCATCTGTCCATCATAAAAGTGCATCTATCCATCATAAAAGTGCATCTGTCCATCATAATAGTGCATCTGTCCATCATAAAAGTGCATCTGTCCATCATAAAAGTGCATCTGTCCATCATAAAAGTGCATCTATCCATCATAAAAGTGCATCTGTCCATCATAATAGTGCATCTGTCCATCATAAAAGTGCATCTATCCATCATAAAAGTGCATCTGTCCATCATAAAAGTGCATCTGTCCATCATAAAAGTGCATCTATCCATCATAAAAGTGCATCTGTCCATCATAATAGTGCATCTGTCCATCATAAAAGTGCATCTGTCCATCATAAAAGTGCATCTGTCCATCATAAAAGTGCATCTATCCATCATAAAAGTGCATCTGTCCATCATAATAGTGCATCTGTCCATCATAAAAGTGCATCTATCCATCATAAAAGTGCATCTGTCCATCATAAAAGTGCATCTATCCATCATAAAAGTGCATCTGTCCATCATAATAGTGCATCTGTCCATCATAAAAGTGCATCTGTCCATCATAAAAGTGCATCTGTCCATCATAAAAGTGCATCTATCCATCATAAAAGTGCATCTGTCCATCATAATAGTGCATCTGTCCATCATAAAAGTGCATCTATCCATCATAAAAGTGCATCTGTCCATCATAAAAGTGCATCTGATGCACTATTATGATGGACAGATGCATTTTTATGATGGACAGAAGCACTTTTATGATGGACAGATGCACTATTATGATGGACAGATGCACTTTTATGATGGACAGATGCACTTTTATGATGGATAGATGCACTTTTATGATGGACAGATGCACTTTTATGATGCAATTAAATGTTTTAATTGTTATCGTTAAAAAAAATCTGCCGACATTTGGACTGCCAACCAATCCGCAAACAGCCTCTGACTGTCTTACGGTAACACTGTTGCGCTGTTGAGGCTCGTGCCTCATGAGAAATGGAAACAAATGAGCCCAGACCACACAAAGAAACTTAATGAACATGCACAGCGGTAGAAATTCATGTGGAGTTCTTATATTTATAACATATTATATGATACAGTTAAGCAACATCACACAACCACAAGTGCAATACCATCACGATTGAAAATGTACCACTGATTTAATATGATATGACAGTTTAATAAACAAATTAATATTAAGTCACTTACATTTTAGACACAATATTGACTGTTTTTTGTTGTATTTGAGCAGCGAAAATAGTTCCAAACAAAGATCACAGCAGAACCACAGCACATCTCACCAGAACACATAACCGCATTACTGAATCATGATTCAGCGTTTTGAATGAATCGGTTGAGTCAAAGATTCAATGGCCCATTAAACAAATGCCTCATTCTTAAACAATTCAGCGTTTTGAAAGAATCGTTTGAATAAATGGCTCAACGACTCACTCAGTAAGACGGCGATCTGCCGCCACCTATTGGTGGTTTAGTTTTGTGTTTAAAAGTATCATTCTTTCCAATATTTCATATTTGTATATTCAAAAAACATTTAAAACAATCTCATAACATTATTTAATGCCATTGTAATTTTTCACTGTAAATTATTTAATTTGATTGGTAGCAGCCAGTGTCTTATTATTTTAATTTAATTTATTGATCAAATTTAAGAATTTAAAATGAAAGATGAAGCATAGGCTATATTTAAAACGATTAAGGAAAAATGCTCTTTATAAAGGTTAAAATATCATAAATATGCAGATTTAAATATGTCAAAGTTGACTCAACACTGATGAGAATATTGCTTTATTATTGCATTTTTAGTAATTTTTTTACTTGGAAGTGACCGATTTACTTGTTCGAAGGACAAGCACATGAAGAGGCTTTATGTCGAGCCCTGAGTTATATTTTATATAGTATTATGGTTATTTGGCGCTGAGTAGCCTATAGTTTTACACATCAGCCCAGTCTATTCTGTAAAGTTAGAGATAGGCAAAGTCTGGGTTTATTGCACATTAATCTGACAATAAATGTGGCACACCCAGTTTTTCTTATGCACACCCAGAGACTCTTTTCTGGCTACCCTAGTGGCCCAGAGGCATAATTAGTATGAGCATCAAAGATCAGTTTCAGCTACTTTTTCTTTCCTAAATTAATCAATATTTTTGGACTAGCTAATCTGTTTATTTAATCAATGGTTCAATTGTTCACTCATAAAGTCAGTCACTTTTCGCCGCCTTCTGGCTTGCAAGTTGCGCAAACACGAACAAGCGGAGTGATACAAACAGTGAAAAGTCGAACACATTCGAGGTAACGTTTTACAAATATATTACAATAATAATGGCAATATATTTAATAATATGGTGCTTGTGTTGTTAAATTGAGCTTAGTATCCACTGTCTTTGATCAAACTGAGTAGTTCTGTCGATCATTTAAAACTTCTATCGACAAACAGCTGTTTAGATTCCCTGCATCTTATCTCGCACGGTATGCCCGTTAACTGAAGCCTGAAGCGTCGCGTTGGGATTCGCGCTCGGCTTGCGCTTCTGTGAACATAAATCTCACTTGCTTTGATTGGACTCAAACATTTTGACATTGACGAGCGGGTGAGTGCTCAGCTCAGACGAGAAGGTCAGTTATCGTTGCGATGGGCGAATCATTGCAGCACCAAAGTCGAGTTAATATTAGCCAATTATTTCATAACTTTCATTATATACACTCAACAAAATTTATATATTTGGTGCTGAAGGAGACGGAGCTGAGCTCCGGCAGGGTGTGTTGTGGACCCAATTTAACCTATGGATACAGCACATCAAACCCTCGTCTTACCTGTCGATACAGCACATCACACCACAGTTAATATCGGGGTTTACACATTCAGCTCCAGCCAGGATCGACTGACACACACCATCTGCTCTGTTGGTTGATTTCTCATTTGAATATTAGCGTAGTTACGTCACTCACGCGAGATCTGCTTTTGAAATATATCTTCCCCTCAGTCACTCACAAACCACATTCGACAACATATAAAGATTAAATAACCTTTACAAAAATTTTAGAAACAAATATGGAAAATGAAAAAAAGCATGTTAAAACAATCAATGCAGTTAAAACTCCTTGCAACCAAATATCTACTAAAAGTCACCATGAAATCAAAATGTACAATTCTTATTCTTGTATGTAATATTTCAGTGTTTATCCTAAACTATTTATGGGTGATTTATTAATCTTGGATCAGAGTAACTTCCTCTTGCAGCATCTCTTCTCTTCTCTGATGATGAGGGCGGGGCTATAACCTGTCACTCACATGAGATCAGCCAATAGCAAACCACAACTATCCAATCAATTCCCCACGGACACAATCAAGCCCCGCCCACATGTGTTCTTGCTCCTGAGGCGTTTCAGTGTGTGGTCCGTCCGAACACAGAACGGAGGAACGACTGATTCCGGTTTAATTTTGACATTCAATCTCTGGGACCTTTGAAAGATCGATGTTCTTGTAAATATATATCTATACCTTTAATATTCAAGCACAATAAACACAGATAAACATTCAATAATGAAACAGTCACTTTCAATCAGAAGAGGAATAGTTTATTCTGATAATATCGTAACTGTGAGGAGGTTTTACCGCGGTGCCGCAGAGTAAACTCAGCTGGCGTTTGGAGATTCTTGTGTACGAGCGAGTCACTGGCAGTCAAAACATGACAGACGCAATCAAGACGTGGACTTTTATTGTTGTGGTCAAAGGAAATAAATACAACTGAAAGCACTGGATCTGACAGTTCAGTGCACGTCCTTCATCATCGTCATCTTCATCGATGATTCTCAGCACAGGCGGCCGATGTCGTTTTTTGTGCAGCCCTGATTACAGCACATTCCCGCCAGTCCCAGCGAGAAGTTCCTCTTCCTGCGGTCAGAGGTCATCGTGTCAGAGGTCATCATGTCAGAGGTCATCGTGTCCAGCCGGAGAGACCAGAGAAACGGCACACCTCCATCCACGGACCAGGGACCTGCGACACACATATCAGATGATGATGAAGATGAAGAAGATGATGAAGATGAAGCATGTACTGTCTCTCCTCCAGCGCGGGCCCTCGCAGGTGAAGATGATGATGATGAAGCACGTACTGTCTCTCCTCCAGCGCGAGCCCTCGCAGGTGAAGATGATGATGAAGAAGTTGATGATGAAGAGGATGATGATGATGAAGGGTGAAGATGATGATGATGAAGCACGTACTGTCTCTCATCCAGCGCGAGCCCCCGCAGGTGAAGATGATGATGATGAAGTTGATGATGAAGAGGATGATGATGATGATGATGATGAAGGGTGAAGATGATGATGATGAAGCACGTACTGTCTCTCATCCAGCGCGAGCCCCCGCAGGTGAAGATGATGATGATGATGATGATGAAGGGTGAAGATGATGATGATGAAGCACGTACTGTCTCTCCTCCAGCGCGAGCCCCCGCAGGTGAAGATGATGATGATGAAGTTGATGATGAAGAGGATGATGATGATGATGATGAAGGGTGAAGATGATGATGATGAAGCACGTACTGTCTCTCATCCAGCGCGAGCCCCCGCAGGTGAAGATGATGATGATGAAGTTGATGATGAAGAGGATGATGATGATGATGATGAAGGGTGAAGATGATGATGATGAACCACGTACTGTCTCTCATCCAGCGCGAGCCCCCGCAGGTGAAGATGATGATGATGAAGTTGATGATGAAGAGGATGATGATGATGATGATGAAGGGTGAAGATGATGATGATGAACCACGTACTGTCTCTCCTCCAGCGCGAGCCCCCGCAGGTGAAGATGATGATGATGAAGTTGATGATGAAGAGGATGATGATGATGATGATGAAGGGTGAAGATGATGATGATGAAGCACGTACTGTCTCTCCTCCAGCGCGAGCCCCCGCAGGTGAAGATGATGATGATGAAGTTGATGATGAAGAGGATGATGATGATGATGATGATGAAGGGTGAAGATGATGATGATGAACCACGTACTGTCTCTCATCCAGCGCGAGCCCCCGCAGGTGAAGATGATGATGATGAAGTTGATGATGAAGAGGATGATGATGATGAAGGGTGAAGATGATGAAGATGAAGCACGTACTGTCTCTCATCCAGCGCGAGCCCCCGCAGGTAAAGATGATGATGAAGAAGTTGATGATGAAGAGGATGATGATGATAAAGGGTGAAGATGATGAAGATGAAGCACGTACTGTCTCTCCTCCAGCGCGAGCCCCCGCAGGTAAAGATGATGATGAAGAAGTTGATGATGAAGAGGATGATGATGATGATGAGAAAGGGTGAAGATGATGATGATGAACCACGTACTGTCTCTCATCCAGCGCGAGCCCCCGCAGGTGAAGATGATGAAGAGGATGATGATGATGAAGGGTGAAGATGATGAAGATGATGATGATGATGATGAAGATGAAGCACGTACTGTCTCTCCTCCAGCGCGAGCCCCCGCAGGTGAAGATGATGAAGTTGATGATGAAGAGGATGATGATGATGAAGGGTGAAGATGATGATGATGAAGATGAAGCACGTACTGTCTCTCCTCCAGCGCGAGCCCCCGCAGGTGAAGATGATGAAGAGGATGATGATGATGAAGGGTGAAGATGATGAAGATGATGATGATGAAGATGAAGCACGTACTGTCTCTCCTCCAGCGCGAGCCCCCGCAGGTGAAGATGATGAAGAGGATGATGATGATGATGATGAAGGGTGAAGATGATGATGATGAAGATGAAGCACGTACTGTCTCTCCTCCAGCGCGAGCCCCCGCAGGTGAAGATGATGAAGTTGATGATGAAGAGGATGATGATGATGAAGGGTGAAGATGATGATGATGAAGATGAAGCACGTACTGTCTCTCCTCCAGCGCGAGCCCCCGCAGGTGAAGATGATGATGATGAAGTTGATGATGAAGAGGATGATGATGATGAAGGGTGAAGATGATGATGATGAAGATGAAGCACGTACTGTCTCTCCTCCAGCGCGAGCCCCCGCAGGTGAAGATGATGATGATGAAGTTGATGATGAAGAGGATGATGATGATGAAGGGTGAAGATGATGATGATGAAGATGAAGCACGTACTGTCTCTCCTCCAGCGCGAGCCCTCGCAGGTGAAGATGATGAAGTTGATGATGAAGAGGATGATGATGATGAAGGGTGAAGATGATGATGATGAAGATGAAGCACGTACTGTCTCTCCTCCAGCGCGAGCCCCCGCAGGTGAAGATCACGGCTCTGATGAACTCGCGCCCGCACAGCTTCACTCCGAAGTCTCTCGGTAACTCCTGCCTCTCCGCGCTCACACACACACACACACCGCACACACACACCAGCACAACGGACGAAAGCGCGCGGAACATCATCATCGAGTACATTAGCGCGGTCTGATGGAAGCAAACCACTGAAGTGTCTCGAGCTGCTGCTTTCTGGAGATCCTCCATCAGTTCGCAGACTTTATACACACTCACACACACACACTGACGTCACTGACGCGCGCGCGCGCGCGCTGGCTGAATATCATCACTCACTTCTTACAGATGTAGATTATTATGGATATTGCTCTCTACAGATGAATGATGTCGGAGCACAAACGTGATTTAATAAGAATAATTTATTTCCAAAATATAGATTTCGTGTTTCATCATTCAGCAACTGTGCAAAAGAAAACCAAACAATCCTAAGCAAATAAAGCAATATACAATCGGTTTTATTTTCTTGAACAGACATTGGCTTCTTTTTGATCAAATCATATTTTAATATCCAAATTGAATATTTTGTTTATGCATCACACACACAGATAATCATCTTAATCACATTTTATGGAAAAATGAAACATTAAAAACTGCTTTAAAGGTTTATTGTTGGACACAAAGGTCATGATCACAATATAAACGAAACACTGTTGGACGCTCCATTACAACCATGAATAATAGAGTGTATAGGAAATATACAATACTAACACAATATATTTTAATCATGTTATTTTTCTTTCCAGGCATTTTGAAAAGCATAAATAATTAGGCAATATGTGTGAAGCAACACCTGAGAATCAATGGATCACATGAAGCTCAACTGGAGCTTCAGCATGAACAGCATGAAGCTGGCGTTTGGCTGGAGCACTGCTGGAGCAGCCGAACACTCGGACACTCCTGGGCCATTACGCTCACCTTCGCCAGGTTCGCCAGGACTCATAAGGGTTCGTAAGGGTTCATAAGGATTCTTCAAGATTGGTCAGGACTCGTCATGGTTCGTTAGGATTCATGTTCATCAGGATTTTCAGGATTCGTAAGGATTCGTTAGGACTCGTCAAGGTTCATCAGGATTCGTGTTCGTCAGGACTCATAAGGATTCATAAGGGTTCGTCAGGATTCGTAAGGGATCGTCAGGATTCGTGTTCGTCAGGACTCATAAGGATTCATAAGGATTCGTCAGGACTCGTCAAGGTTCATTAGGATTCGTGTTCGTCAGGATTCATAAGGATTCGTCAGGACTCGTCAAGATTCGTGTTTGTCAGGATGTCAGGATTCGTAAGGGTTCGTCAGGACTCATGTTCGTCAGGACTCATAAGGATTCGTAAGGATTCGTCAGGACTCGTCCAGGTTCATTAGGATTCGTGTTCGTCAGGATTCATAAGGATTTGTCAGGATTCGTGTTCGCCAGGATTTTCAGGATTCGTAAGGGATCGTCAGGATTCGTGTTTGTCAGGATTCGTGTTTGTCAGGATTCGTGTTTGTCAGGATTCGTGTTCGCCAGGATTTTCAGGATTCGTAAGGGATCGTCAGGATTCGTGTTTGTCAGGATTTCAGGATTCGTAAGGGTTCGTCAGGACTCATGTTCGTCAGGACTCATAAGGATTCGTAAGGATTCGTCAGGACTCGTCAAGGTTCATTAGTATTCGTGTTCGTCAGGATTCATAAGGATTTGTCAGGATTCGTGTTTGTCAGGATTCGTGTTCGTCAGGATTCATAAGGATTTGTCAGGATTCGTGTTTGTCAGGATTCGTGTTCGTCAGGATTCGTGTTTGTCAGGATTCGTGTTCGTCAGGATTCATAAGGATTTGTCAGGATTCGTGTTCGCCAGGATTTTCAGGATTCGTAAGGATTCGTCAGGACTCGTCAAGATTCGTGTTTGTCAGGATTCGTGTTCGTCAGGATTCATAAGGATTTGTCAGGATTCGTGTTCGCCAGGATTTTCAGAATTCGTAAGGGATCGTCAGGATTCGTGTTTGTCAGGATTTCAGGATTCATCAGGATCGTCAGGACTGATCAGGATTGGTCAGGATTCACCAGGGTTTGTGTTGGTCAGGATTCACCAGGGTTTGTGTTCGTCAGGATTCGTGTTCGTCAGGATTCATCAGGATCGTTAGGACTGATCAGGACTGGCACTCATTTCTCCAGCAGAGACGTCAGGTGAGCTCGGGAACGTCGGGATTTCTCGATGCTCTCAAACGTGGGCGACCCGTGAGGAAGATCCAGGCGCTCGCTCTCAGAGACCATGATGCTCTCTGCCTCGGCTGCAGATCACACACACACACACACACACACACACACACACACACCATCAGACGGGATCATCAGCAACTGCACTGTTCACTAATTACAACTACCACATTCCCTCGCCATCAAAGCGGGATTTTCAAGGAATCCTTTTAAAGCCAATCAATAACCCATCAGTGATGGAGGAGGAAAGCTGCATGACGTCACTGCGCTCATTAACTCCCCCTGACGTGGATCTGTTAATCAGGAAGAATGTCACATGCTGATGATTAAATAATTAGATTCGATTTAAATGTGTTTTTAACCATCGGCAGATCCGACAGAAGATGAGCTTCTGACGAACATGTTCAGAGCGTCTTCATCTCTTCAGTGTGTGATGTTGCTGTTTAAGCTCCAGTTCTCCTCTATATCAGCGTCAGTGTTCCTGAACTCCTGAAACGCCTCCACTGTAGTCTTGACTTTCTCCCGGGAACGAACACGTCACAATATTCCTCATAATTCATGCGCAGAATAAAGGGGCGGGGCCTGGTTGAGTTAGTTAGTAGTGTGTTAAACTGGCGGTTATGGAAAGGGGCGGGGCATTTCCCAAACACACTCGAAGCGCTCGACCAATCACAACACACTGCTCCAGCCGACCAATCAGAGCACAGTGTGCTTTTCAGAAGGAGGGGCTTCATAGAGACAGGAAGTAAACAGAGCGTTACTGACAGACTGGGAAGAGAGGAGCCGCAACAATGGAGAATATGAGGAAAATAATCAACATTCAAGCAGGAAAACCTGCACTAGTAGAGCCTGAAACTACATCACGGCTGTCAGAGCCGAATATGTCCTGTGTTTTGGTTGTTTGTGTACCTCTCATGCGGTGGATCAGCGACCCGTACGCCACGTCCATCTGATACGCCAGGATGAAGCTCAGAGGAACGACCGGAGCCAGGAGAACTGCCCTCCTCTGTCGCACCGCTCTGCACACACACGACTCCAGTCACACACACACACTGTTCAGATGAACGACTGCTTAAAAAATAAAAAGTGTTCAACTGTTGAGCTTAAAGGACGCTTGAAATCCAGTGATATACTGGATCTGACCGACTGACGGGAGAAATGAAGCTGTGAAAACCACTAAAGCTATACATACATCACATAAAAAACATGTGTGAGTGTGTGTATATAGTGTGTGTGTGAAAGAGAGAGAGAGAGAGAGAGAGAGAGTGTGTGTATATAGTGTGAGTGAATGTGTGTGTGTATATAGTGTGTGTGTGAGAGAGTGAGTTTATAGTGTGTGTGTGTGTGTGTGTGTGTGTGAGAGTGTGAGTATATAGTGTGTGTGTATATAGTGTGTGTGTGTGAGTGAGTGTGTGTGTGAGTGTGTATATAGTGTGTGAGTGAGTGTGTGTGTGTATATAGTGTGTGTGTGTATAGTGTGTGAGTGTGTATATAGTGTGTGAGTGAGTGTTTATAGTGTGTGAGTGAGTGAGTGTGTGTGTGTGTCTGTATAGTGTGTGTGTGTGTATGTGTATAGTGTGTGAGTGAGTGTGTGTGTGTGTATATAGTGTGTGTGTGTGTATATAGTGTGTGTGTGTGTGTATAGTGTGTGAGTGAGTGTGTGTGTGTGTGTATAGTGTGTGAATGAGTGTGTGTGTCTGTATAGTGTGTGAGTGAGTGAGTGAGTGAGTGAGTGTGTGTGAGTGAGTGTATATAGTGTGTGAATGAGTGTGTGTGTCTGTATAGTGTGTGAGTGAGTGAGTGAGTGTGTGTGAGTGAGTGTATATAGTGTGTGAGGCATATACACTCACCTAAAGGATTATTAGGAACACCATACTAATACTGTGTTTGACCCCCTTTCGCCTTCAGAACTGCCTTAATTCTGCGTGGCATTGATTCAACAAGGTGCTGAAAGCATTCTTTAGAAATGTTGGCCCATATTGATAGGATAGCATCTTGCAGTTGATGGAGATTTGTGGGATGCACATCCAGGGCACGAAGCTCCCGTTCCACCACATCCCAAAGATGCTCTATTGGGTTGAGATCTGGTGACTGTGGGGGCCATTTTAGTACAGTGAACTCGTTGTCATGTTCAAGAAACCAATTTGAAATGATTCGAGCTTTGTGACATGGTGCATTATCCTGCTGGAAGTAGCCATCAGAGGATGGGTACATGGTGGCCATAAAGGGATGGACATGGTCAGAAACAATGCTCAGGTAGGCCGTGGCATTTAAACGATGCCCAATTGGCACTAAGGGGCCTAAAGTGTGCCAGGAAAACATCCCCCACACCATTACACCACCACCACCAGCCTGCACAGTGGTAACAAGGCATGATGGATCCATGTTCTCATTCTGTTTACGCCAAATTCTGACTCTAACATCTGAATGTCTCAACAGAAATCGAGACTCATCAGACCAGGCAACATTTTTCCAGTCTTCAACTGTCCAATTTTGGTGAGCAAATTGTAGCCTCTTCCTATTTGTAGTGGAGATGAGTGGTACCCGGTGGGGTCTTCTGCTGTTGTAGCCCATCCGCCTCAAGGTTGTGTGTGTTGTGGCTTCACAAATGCTTTGCTGCATACCTCGGTTGTAACGAGTGGTTATTTCAGTCAAAGTTGCTCTTCTATCAGCTTGAATCAGTCGGCCCATTCTCCTCTGACCTCTAGCATCAACAAGGCATTTTCGCCCACAGGACTGCCGCATACTGGATGTTTTTCCCTTTTCACACCATTCTTTGTAAACCCTAGAAATGGTTGTGCGTGAAAATCCCAGTAACTGAGCAGATTGTGAAATACTCAGACCGGCCCGTCTGGCACCAACAACCATGCCACGCTCAAAATTGCTTAAATCACCTTTCTTTCCCATTCTGACATTCAGTTTGGAGTTCAGGAGATTGTCTTGACCAGGACCACACCCCTAAATGCATTGAAGCAACTGCCATGTGATTGGTTGATTAGATAATTGCATTAATAATAATATTATTGATCTGCCTTACTTAAGGTGGACGTTGACGCAATTTCTTTTAGAAACAAACTTTGTTATATTGTTATATTGTTTTTGTTATATTGTTTTCATGTTATCACTGTGAAGCGCTTTGATACAATCTGTATTGTAAAAAGCGCTATATAAATAAAGGTGACTTGACTTGACTTGACTTAATGAGAAATTGAACAGGTGTTCCTAATAATCCTTTAGGTGAGTGTAGTGTGTGAGTGAGTGAGTGAGTGTATAGTGTGTGAGTGAGTGTGTGTATAGTGTGTGAGTGTGTATATAGTGTGTGTGTGTGTGTTTGTATAGTGTGTGAATGAGTGTGTGTGTGTGTGTGTATAGTGTGTGTGTGTGTTACAGACCCAACGGTGAGACCCAGCGCAGTTAAACCGTAGAAAGAAGAGAAGTACTTGAGGAACTCTCGAGACCAGGCGATCTGCATCGCCGTCTGACGCTCACGCATCTCGTTCTGCATCAGCATCTGACGCTCCAGCTGCAGAAACACAACACACACACCTCTGAGTCAGGCTGACGTGTGTGTGTGTGTTCAGGTGAAGAGCTGCAGAGACACGCCTGACCTCATGAACATCACACACACACACACACACACGTCTGACTCTTCCTGACCAAACAAAGCATCCGTCTCACACAATCTGCACATGAATACAGCTTTATCAGATTATTCATTAGCTCTCATTACCATGTGTGTGTGTGTGGCCTGTGAACGCCTCGCATTTCCTGTCTTTGTCTGGAGATCAGAGCCACTTCCTGTTTGCAAGCAGAAGCTCCCTGACATGATCTCAGCAGGAGTTTGTTAAAGTCAATCACTTTATCCCTTAAAGCTCATTTTTCATCACCAGAATAACATTTGAAACGTTTTTTCCTTTGAAAATAATTCTTCATGTCTTAAAATATCTTGAATGTAACTCGACACCCTGGCCTCATTTAGTATGCGCGGTTCTATGAATATGCAGATGAGCCCCGCCTCCACTCACTCACTCAGCTCAGAGATCCACTGGTTGACGATCACACGTTGATCTGATTGGTTACAAGGCCGTTTGTGACGTCAGAAACACCAGCGATTTCAGTGTGTTTGAGACTGTCTTTGGTTCACTGCAGTTTAAAGGAGGAAATACTCAGCAATGCTGTCGACTTATGAACTTACACATGGTTTGAGTTAAAGCGTATTAAAACAGCATTAAAAGCTGGATTTACACCACAGGGGACTTTAAGAAACTTTAATATGCTGGTAAAGGACAGGAATCAGACGTGCTGTGACAGATTACAGGTTCTCTGATTTCACTCTCGTAGCGATGATGAACGACCGCAGGCTGAACAAGGTGATGTAAATGATCAGGAATAACGTTTGCTAACGAGGTGAAGTAAACGCCATCGCTCCACTCGACTCAAAAGCATTAATTATCTCTAACCAATCAGCTGTTTGAGTGCTAATCAAGCTAGCGGTGCGAGTGAAACGGAGAAACATCCGCTCAAACACAGAAACTCACTGGCAGAATCTGTTTACACGCGCTCACTTTCAAACTAACTTCCAGGAACAAGAACACATGTGGGCGGGGCTTGATTGTGTCCGTGGGGAATTGGCTGGACGGTTGTGGTTTGCTATTGGCTGATCTCATGTGAGTGACAGGTTATAGCCCCGCCCTCATCATCAGAGAAGAGATGCTGCAAGAGGAAGTTACTCCGATTCAACTTTATTAACACAATAATGATCATTTATAACAAACACTGCAATATTCCATAAAAACATACGAATGTCCATTTTGATTTCATGGTGGGTTTAACCGCAGTGACGTCTGAGAGCGGTTCTGCGCGGAGCGTGGAGTGACCCGTCTCGGGTCTGGTGTCCTGATGTCTGAGAGCGGTTCTGCGCGGAGCGTGGAGTGACCCGTCTCGGGTCTGGTGTCCTGATGTCTGAGAGCGGTTCTGCGCGGAGCGTGGAGTGACCCGTCTCGGGTCTGGTGTCCTGATGTCTGAGAGCCGTTCTGCGCGGAGCGTGGCGTGACCCGTCTCGGGTCTGGTGTCCTGGTGCCCTGATGTCTGAGAGCGGTTCTGCGCGGAGCGTGGCGTGACCCGTCTCAGGTCTGGTGTCCTGATGTCTAAGAGCGGTTCTGCGCGGAGCGTGACCCGTCTCGGGTCTGGTGTCCTGGTGTCTGAGAGCGGTTCTGCGCGGAGCGTGGAATGACCCGTCTCGGGTCTGGTGTCCTGATGTCTGAGAGCGGTTCTGCGCGGAGCGTGGCGTGACCCGTCTCAGGTCTGGTGTCCTGGTGTCCTGATGTCTGAGAGCGGTTCTGCGCGGAGCGTGGAGTGACCCGTCTCAGGTCTGGTGTCCTGGTGTCCTGATGTCTGAGAGCGGTTCTGCGCGGAGCGTGGAGTGACCCGTCTCGGGTCTGGTGTCCTGGTGTCCTGATGTCTGAGAGCGGTTCTGCGCGGAGCGTGGCGTGAGCCGTCTCGGGCCTGGTGTCCTGATGTCTGAGAGCGGTTCTGCGCGGAGCGTGGAGTGACCCGTCTCGGGTCTGGTGTCCTGGTGTCCTGATGTCTGAGAGCGGTTCTGCGCGGAGCGTGGCGTGAGCCGTCTCGGGTCTGGTGTCCTGATGTCTGAGAGCGGTTCTGCGTGGAGTGTCTGGCATGACCCGTCTCGGGTCTGGTGTCCTGGTGTCCTGATGTCTGAGAGCGGTTCTGCGCGGAGCGTGGAGTGACCCGTCTCGGGTCTGGTGTCCTGATGTCTGAGAGCCGTTCTGCGCGGAGCGTGGCGTGACCCGTCTCGGGTCTGGTGTCCTGGTGTCCTGATGTCTGAGAGCGGTTCTGCGCGGAGCGTGGCGTGACCCGTCTCAGGTCTGGTGTCCTGATGTCTGAGAGCGGTTCTGCGCGGAGCGTGGAGTGACCCGTCTCGGGTCTGGTGTCCTGGTGTCTGAGAGCGGTTCTGCGCGGAGCGTGGAGTGACCCGTCTCGGGTCTGGTGTCCTGATGTCTGAGAGCGGTTCTGCGCGGAGCGTGGCGTGACCCGTCTTAGGTCTGGTGTCCTGGTGTCCTGATGTCTGAGAGCGGTTCTGCGCGGAGCGTGGAGTGACCCGTCTCAGGTCTGGTGTCCTGGTGTCTGAGAGCGGTTCTGCGCGGAGCGTGGAGTGACCCGTCTCAGGTCTGGTGTCCTGATGTCCTGATGTCTGAGAGCGGTTCTGCGCGGAGCGTGGCGTGAGCCGTCTCGGGTCTGGTGTCCTGATGTCTGAGAGCGGTTCTGCGCGGAGCGTGGAGTGACCCGTCTCGGGTCTGGTGTCCTGGTGTCTGAGAGCGGTTCTGCGCGGAGCGTGGCGTGAGCCGTCTCGGGTCTGGTGTCCTGGTGTCCTGATGTCTGAGAGCGGTTCTGCGCGGAGCGTGGAGTGAGCCGTCTCGGGTCTGGTGTCCTGATGTCTGAGAGCGGTTCTGCGTGGAGCGTGGCGTGACCCGTCTCGGGTCTGGTGTCCTGGTGTCCTGATGTCTGAGAGCGGTTCTGCGCGGAGCGTGGCGTGACCAGTCTCAGGTCTGGTGTCCTGATGTCTGAGAGCGGTTCTGCGCGGAGCGTGGCGTGACCCGTCTCGGGTCTGGTGTCCTGATGTCTGAGAGCGGTTCTGCGCGGAGCGTGGCGTGACCAGTCTCAGGTCTGGTGTCCTGGTGTCTGAGAGCGGTTCTGCGCGGAGCGTGGCGTGACCCGTCTCAGGTCTGGTGTCCTGATGTCCTGATGTCTGAGAGCGGTTCTGCGCGGAGCGTGGCGTGACCCGTCTCAGGTCTGGTGTCCTGATGTCCTGATGTCTGAGAGCGGTTCTGCGCGGAGCGTGGCGTGACCCGTCTCGGGTCTGGTGTCCTGATGTCTGATAGCGGTTCTGCGCGGAGCGTGGCGTCAGGGGCGGATCTAGAAAAATATTTATGGGGTGGCAAGAGGGGGGCAGGAATTTTTGAGGAGTGGCAACATGGCAGACGTACCGAATTTAATCACAGTTAACACAGTTTGATGAGAAATCGTATGTATACACACTACAAAAGGGCATTATTTGCTGTGAGTACAGGGCTGGACTGGGACAAAAAATCGGCCCGGGCATTTTGGCCCAGACTGGCCCACTACATATAATTATAAACACAACCGAACTTTGCACTCCCTTGAATATGTATACCAACTCCTATAAAAACCACTGAGTAAGAGTTAACAGATGAAATAACTACTAAGTTGAACTATACTCCACAGTGATGAATCCTAAAACAAGCTAAGCTGCATTGGGATAGCAATACCGTTTTTTCCCATCGGATTTTGGGAAATATGTGGTGAGTGCAGAGTGCACCTCTGTCCCTCTAGGGGGGTTCGGGGGTATGCTCCCCCGTAAGAAAATTTTGTGCTTTTTAATGTTAAATTCATCAATCTGGTGCACTTTGAGAGTTCAAAATAAAGAGCTCCAACCCATATTCAGTGTGCAAATTGAACAAAGAAAAACTCAAAACTCTTTTTAGTTGTGATATAGTGTCTGTCTACATTACACTACTATATAATAATAGTTATAATATTATGGCCAGTCCAGCCCTGTGTGAGTATAAAGGCAGGGGTGCGTTTAACTTTTGGAGCCAAGGTGTGCCGACCTTTTTTCCCTTTTTTATATATATTATTTTGTTGAGCACCCAACAAGAATCAATTTATAGAATCAATTATATCATTTAAATACTACTAAGATCCATATTACCATCACACGAGCCAATGGCAATTAAATGCACGGATGCATAACGTTAGTCAGATTAATGAATGAAATACAACTGTTCACGAACAGAATATTGTATTGGACTCATGCTGCATACATACGCAATGACAATTATGCCTACTGTAAATATAGAGTTACAACTACGATTAGAGTTGTTAAATAAAATACCCTGTGAACATTCCAAGTTTGCTTTATGATAGGCTTAAATTTATCTCCATAAATATTAAATAATATTTTCTTAATTCTGCGCATGTATTTTTACTTACATCAATTGCTCGATCAATATTATTATCACATATTTTACATTTATATTTTTAACTGTACACAAACAACTTAATATAGCTAAGTTTGTGTATATTTTACACGTAGTAAAATACTGTAGGCTACTGCTTATAAACACCAGACAGATAATGATATATGAAACAGATGTTCTTTACTCATCTCACTTGCACAAAATAAATGCAGTAATATAAAGCATAGAAACGCACAGGTGAAATACACTGAAAATGATATGCATTTAAAAATTTGGTCGGGTTGAAAACTTATCTCTCTGGTAATGGAACTCGGTCGCTGTTGTCTCTTGCTCTCGCTGTCTCCCGCTCTCGCGGTCAGATCACCGGAAGTTTTCGCCGGAAATATTTGCCCACACAATAAAGTACGAACGTCAACGGTCGTCATATTATGCACGGAGCGAATTCACTGCAGTCGGACATTGGAGATTCGTGTTCGTAAATTGTCAAATTGGCCATAACTTTCAA